TGTTGTCCCCCCCCCGTCGCCCACGGGCGGGTCAGAGACGCGGCGGGCCCTGCTGACCCTGCAGAACCTGACGGCCGCCACCTCCGGCCTCTACCGCTGCACGGCCGCCAACGCCCTGGGATCCGGCTCCTGCTCCCTCCAGCTGCGCGTGCACCTGGGTGAGTGCGTCCTGCTTGTCAAATGCTGGGCACTGATTGGACGCTTGGTCGTGTCCTAAGAGCAGCCAGACGAGGGTCCGTCGAGCCCAGCGTCCTGTCGTCCGACAGTGGCCAAGGCCTGGTGCCCCAGAGGGAGTGAAGAGAACAGGGAATCATCAAGTGATCCCTCCCCTGTCACCCATTCCTTGGCACACAGCGGCTAGAGGCAGCCTCCCTGCCAGTCGGGGAGAGAGCTTGGCCCAGGGCCCCGTCGATAGGCTTCACGGACACCAAACCGGTCCCAGCTGGGAAGCCAGACCAGACGCTGGAGACAGCTGCCCAGCATAACCCCACGTTGTCGCTGGTGTCGGGCCCTTTCCTGACTCACTAAACCGAGATCAGATCAGAGCAGCTTGCAGCGGGGGCTGGAGCGCCAAGAGCAGAGAGGCCTCCTCCCCCGCCAAGCGAGCCTCTATATCTCTAAATCCACGTGGCTCATGACAAGACCTGGCTGGAGAGGATCTGTGGGAAGGCACCATGTCAGCCAGGGCTGACGCGTTGGTGGCGAAATGCATCGATTTCAATTCCGTTTCGCTCTGGGCAATGAAACTTGGCAGCACATGTGGAGCCGGCTGAGATGCCCCAGGCTGGCTCTTTCCACGCAGACTTTGCATTTCCAAAACGCTCTCCAGTTCGGTGTGTCGTGCCTGGGGGCAGAATGGAGCACAAAAGGAAACGTTTTCAGACACTGAAACGGGAAGGAAACATTTCGATCGACCCAACGGCATCTCCCAGGATGTGATTGCCTGGGAGATGTTGAAATGGTTCATTTTCCTTCTGCTCCGGACCCCCCCGCCCCAAACATGAGGAATTTCCCATGAAATGAAAATCCAGCCCCCACCCATCTCTGCTGACAAAGCCAGCACTGCCAGCACCTTTCCTGCCTGACGTCTGGGCAGCCAAGCCGCTGGTGACCTCGGGTCGGTGTGTTTCAGCCCCACAGGACAAGCTGGGCATCGTGGTGGGCGTCACCGTCACACTGAGCATGGGGCTGGTGCTGCTGGCGCTCCTGGCCCTGGTACTGTGGTTGCACCATCAGAGTGCAGGGAAGTGGACGGAGGAGGAAGTGGAGGATTCTTACAATGAGATCAGGTGAGCGCAAAGGGAGGGGAGGGGGACTGAAGAGGGGTGAAATGAAGGAAGGCAGAGGAGGGAGAGGGAAGTGTGAGCTCTACCCCAGCAAGGGCACGGACCTGTTTGATCTCCAGGGGTTCTGAGGTCTTGGATGATTCAGCTGCTCTTTGAAAGACAAGGGATTGGACTCCACCCCGCTGTGTCTCCTCTGCAGTACCAGCTGGGTTTGAGGCACTTCACCTTGCACCCTGATCCGTTGTATGGTGTTGCTGTTGGGTGACTGCTGTGTGCCGCTCCAGAGGTGGCTGCATTTCAGTGCTGGGTGAAGTGAGAATCATAGAATCATAGGACTGGAAGGGACCTCGAGGGGGCATCGAGTCCAGCCCCCCGCCCTCAAGGCAGGACCAAGCTCCGTCTACACCATCCCTGACAGATGTCTATCTAACCTGTTCTTAAATATCTCCAGAGAGGGAGATTCCACCACCTCCCTTGGCAATTTATTCCAATATTTGACCACCCTGACAGTTAGGAATTTTTTCCTAATGTCCAATCGAAATCTCCCCTGCTTCACTTTAAGCCCATTACTCCTTGTCCTGTCCTCAGAAACCAAGAGAAACAAATTTTCTCCTTCCTCCTTGTGACACCCTTTTAGATATTTGAAAACCGCTATCATGTCCCCCCTTAATCTTCTTTTTTCCAAACTGAACAAGCCCAGTTCATGAAGCCTGGCTTCATAGGTCATGTTCTCTAAACCTTTAATCATTCTTGTCGCTCTTCTCTGCACCCTTTCCAATGTAGGGCCTACAGCACATTTATACTAAGGCCCCTAAACCCCACTCTGGGCGCATAAAGAAGCCCGTTGCCCTTAGTGGAAACGAGAATGAGGCCCACGGGGGCACAGAGCCAGAAGAGCTCAGAAATGTTGGATGCTTGAAAGTCTGGCTGTGTTCGTACCATCCTCCAGCTCCATCTGGACAAAGCAGCAATAGGGTCAGGGAACTGGAGCAGCATCAGCTACCCGAAGGGCTCAAAAATAATGTCAGGCTCTAAAAATCCTGAGATTGTCTGAATCCCCCCTCCCCCCATGTCTCAGGGGGTCTCTGTGTTAGTCTCTATCTGCAAACAGCCAGGACTCCCGGAGCACCTTAGAGACGAACAGATTGATCTGGGCATCAGCTTTCATGGGTCAACCCCACTTCATCAGATGCATTGAGGGCTCCTTGTTTTTTCTGAAAAATGCATGAGGTTTTACAACAAAGGTGCAGTTCTTTTCCAGCTGACTTCTGAGCCTTCAGGTGATACATTTCACAGCTTTTCTCTGCTTGCAAAATGAAAGTCCAGAATGTCCCAGGCCCAGGCCTTCCAGGCTATGTCTACACTGCACCGTAGTTCGGAACGAGAGACGCAACTTGAGCTACACACATCGCGTCTCTTATTTCAATCTTATTTCGAAACAGCTTATTTCATCATTGGGTGCTGTCTACACAGGGACAGATCTCGAAATAACCCTCTGTTCAGAAACGTCCCTTACTCCTTGTGGAATGTCGGAATAGCGAGCCCAAAATAACAGGCTTGCTGTGAATCACAGAATCATAGAACTGGAAGGGACCTTGAGAGATCATTGAGTCCAGTCCCCTGCCCACACGGCAGGACCAAGCACCGTCTAGAGCAGGGGTTCCTAACCTGGGGTACGGATTCCCCTGAGAAGCTTTTCAAGGGGGTATGGGGAATATTTGGTAAATAACTAGATGATCCTAATTGAAATATTCCAAAGTAGTAGTGTTAGTGAAAAAAGTTGTGGATTCTAGAGTCTAGAATTTATTTCCTTTCGTATTGAATAGGGGGTACGGGAAGGTTTACTAAAAGCCAAGGGGGTACAGGGACCGAAAAAGGTTGGGAACCCCTGATCTGGAGCATCTCTGACAGGTGTCTGAAGACACGGGCTAGTATTTTGGGAGACTCCCGTATCCTGAAATAGCGTTCTAGTGTAGACATAGCCCCAGAGAAACACCACGGTTTCTCAAACAAAAAGATTTCCGTTAAAAGCATTTTTAGAAAAGCGCGTCTAGATTGGCAGGATGCTTTTCTGGAAAAGCACTTTTTCTGGAAAAGCGTCCGTCTCAAACAAAAAGATTTCCGTTAAAAGCATTTTTAGAAAAGCGCGTCTAGATTGGCAGGATGCTTTTCTGGAAAAGCACTTTTTCTGGAAAAGCATACGTGGCCAATCTAGACGCGCTTTTCCACAAAAAAATCAACCCGGCCAGGGCTTTGTCAAGCTGGGACTTAAACACCTCTAGGGATGGAGTACCATTAACCTGTGGAACTCCTTGCTGCAGGATATTTAAAAGGCCAACATGGAGACTCTACTACTTCCCTAGATAACCCATTCCAGTGCTTCACTACTCTCCTAGTGAAATAGTTTTTCCTAATATCCAACCTGGACCTCTCCCACCACAACTTGAGACCTTTGCTCCTTGTTCTGCGATCTGTCACTACTGAGAACAACCTTTCTCCATCCTCTTTGGAACTTCCCTTCAGGAAGTTGAAGGCTGCTATCAAATCCCTCCTCACTCTTCACTTCTGCAGACTAAATAGATCCAACTCCCTCAGCCTCTCCTCGTAGGTCATATGCACCAGCCTCCTAATCATTTTGGTTGACCTCTGCTGGACCCTCTCCAATGCATCCACGTCCTTCCTGTAATTGGGGGCCCAGAACTGGACACAATACTCCAAATGTGGCCTCACCAGAGCCGAGTAAAGAGGAATAATCACATCTCTGGATCAACTGGCAAT